ATTCCTGCAGTAAAAGCTTCTGGTTTTCCAAGTAAGAGATGGGCAATGGTTTGAAGGTTAGGTCACCCAGCTGATGGGGCGTTAAATATAATGACCTCTTTGTCACAGAGTTTCCATACAGGCAAAGCACTCGGCCTATTTCCGACTCAAATCACACAAACTACCTATAGTCAACTGTACTCACAAGGGTGTTGCATGCAAAATGGACTAAAGCTCAAGAAGGATATAGATACTAAAGCAACAGAGACAATATTGAAGGAAGGAAGGACCCATGGCAACATGAGCCAAATGCTGACAGCCTCTCTGCCCACTTCTGCTCTGGTACCCTTCCACACATTGCCAAGACTTGCCCCAGAGCAGACAGCGAAAAACTTGTAGAGGACAAGAGTTTGCCACAGAACCCCACTGACAGAAGTCATTCCACCAGAAGAGGTATGCAAAGACATTTATAGCCCCAAACCAGCTTCTGCGTGAGCCTCCTCTTTGATCAAATCACTGCTTTGATAGTGAATTAAAATGCATAGTGTATGTGAAAAAGCTGCAATATTTTCTTAGCTTATACTACATTCTCAATATGTACTTATAGCAAGAGCCCCCTGAATCAAAACTGTGTGTTTCCCATCTGAAGACAGAGACTGCTATGGCTCCATTCCCCAAAAGCCTTCTAAAAGCTGTGCTTTACTGCAATGCAGAATTAAAGCTTTTTTTCTCCAGGCAACCTTCTGAAGGACAGCAGAATCTGACCTTTACATACTCTCTAGAACACATCTTGCTTTTGGTATAAAACATCACGTAACTTTCCGTCTACCAAATACGGGTCTTTTTTCTTAATCCTTGCTGATTATTGCATACCTACACTCTAAAACAAACCCACAAACTGCAGAAACAAAAGTCCTGCCTGATTATTTATCATCCTGTTTATGCAGCACCATCCCTATGCAAGGGTCACCTAAGCAATGAATGATAAAAATACAAATGAAAAATGGATGAGCTCCAAGGTTCCCTTAGGAAGGCTTAATTTCTCATCTTTGCTGAAGACAACTTCTGTTCTTCACGGCCTTTAAAGAAAATGAGCAGACAACTTCAAAGCCCAATGGCTTCTCTGGTATCTGCACACCACAGACCTCAGCAAGAAAGTCCATTCTCACCCCACGTTTGGAATTTCAGCTGACAACAACAAAGATTTCTTATGTGGAACAAACAAGGAACAGGAAGAAAGTCCTATCCATAACCAGGCTCTGTGATCAGTACCTCAGCCTGGAGGATGCTTGTTTTGAAACAATTCTCCATTTTGGCCTCTCACCACTCCCCACACATTCAAACTCTGAAGCCAGTAGTGCCAGCACCCTCAGAGCCACAGCCTGAGACAAGTTCTGGGGAAGCAAGGGTAAGGATGGCAAGCCCCTTCTCCCCACAGAGGTTCTCTTACCTATCTTCTGGAGTTCTTGAACCCAGAAAACAGAGCTTCAGCAGCCTCACTTAGCTCCTCTACCCATAGCTGATTACACTGCAGTCCCTTCTGCATACTGAAAGTAATACCTATCAAATTTTGTGACAAAATTTGATTTGCTTTTTTAAACCCTATCTCAAATGCATGGCTAACAAGCAGCATCGTTTTTCTCTCAGAATGAGCACTAATACTGTCAATTAAATTCCAGCCTTTGAATCTTTACTGTCTGAAATCACAAACAAGAAAGAGCACGACTTGACTCTCAGCCCCTATGGGCAGTACAGGTTGATTAGCATTTACTTTAAAAAATATTTTGACTTGTCCAAAACCAGAACAAACCTAAACAGATTTTCTCCTGAGTCTGAGATTTCACAGACATGGAATCTGATGATCCTTTTTTATGAGGCAGAACTGCAAGTGGCCCCTAAATACCCAACCCATAGTAAGAGCTGGATTCAATTCATGGTATCACGTTGCAAATATAAAATCCTGGCACAGGGCTGGTGCAAAAAATGACCAGAGAAAAATTTTCAAAGCATAGAAAGAGGAATCTGAACTTCAGTCCAGCTGTTGCAATCACCTCAAGACACCTAAAAAAGAAAACAATTACAAGAAAAACTATGAAAGGTAGATCTGAAGCAGGTGGGCACAATTTATGCACACTTTAAGGCAAGCCTGTAAAACTTTTACCCAAGAAAAAGAATATAGAAGTACTTTGTGAAATACTCAAACAGCAATTTTGTCAGGGATGGAAGCAATGTATTGATCTTCTTTTCATGTCTTGTTTCTCTGCTTTTCATATTGATATCAATTAAGGGAAAAAGGATCAAACCCACTGTTCGTCTTTATGTCAACAAAGTGCCTAGCAAAGTTGTGAAACACAGGAAACAAACAGACTGTAGGCTTTCTGCTGACTTAAGTTTAATAAGAGATGATCCTTCCTGAAAAAAAAATCAAAACTATTATTATTCAGAAAGCAAGAACACTGAAAGGTATTACAGCATAATACTATACTGAGAGTTCACCACTATACTGTTCAATTCAATTGCTGCCTAAGAAACACAAGATGTGAGCGAGCCACTATTCACAGCCTTAATTATTATTGTTCTGCCCAAGAAACAACTGGGACAGGAAGGATAAGCAATGTAACAGAGACTAAAAAATATTCTTTAGCTGATTAAACCCTGATACACATATCACTAAGACTGAAATTTCATTTTTATTTCTCATTGTATTAAGAGCTCCAGACATCTGATGTCCCCAAAACGACTTAATTCCCATTTTCTCATGAAGGCATGAGTGTACATCATACAGATATGTCCCATTGCTTCACCTGTCCCTAACCAAGTTCTTAATATTGAAGTGAGAAACTGAATTTTGCCATCAACTTAATTTTGCTCAAAAATAGATATATATTTCTTTATTTCACTAAAAAGACATAATTATATTCTCTTACACAGATAAAACATGAAAGAAAACACAGCTAGAAGTTTCAGACTCTTAAATCTATAAAGAAAATTTCCAACAACATGACTTCTGGTGAATTTCTCAGACAGGATAGAGTGCTGGCAAAAGCGGGTCAAACCCCACTGATGTGAGGGGAGTTGCATTCACTACTTACTAGGCTGAATTTGACCCATTGTGCAACCAAGAAGAAAGTGCAACATTAAAGGAGCTTCACTGTCATTCATTTAATGTGGAGTCCTACCCCCAGGCTTCAGACAGAGTTAAAGTTCTGTATTTAAGAATAAGCACTACTTTGAACCAAGACAATAAAGAAGTCATTAGAAAAAAAAGTCTATTAAACACTTACCAGGAAACCTGCTATGGAGGTTAGCATCACAGTTGTATCCATTGAACTGAGCAGTCACTGAAAGCACTTTAATCGTCAGCAGGAGCAGTAACCATACCTGTTCCATTGCAAAACCTAGCAAAACATTAGGTGGTTATTACACACATCTGTTCATTGCATTAAAGATGCTTACTGCAGTCATTTAACCACTTGGGAGGTGACGGTTTCCAGCAAAGGAACTGGGGATGAAGCTCACAAGTTTATGGGAAAGAGGCCACAGGCAGCAGGGCCCATTTCCCTACTTCTGTGTAATGTGAAATTTCTATTAACTTCTACAGCTTTTAATCATAACTTGTGGCAAAAAAAGGTACTTCAAGATGATATCAAAGAAAATGAAAAAAAATCCCTAAAACATTGATAGATTAGGATTGCTTAAATATTTAAACTCCGACAGCTTTTTTGACATTTCAGTGTAAAAATTATTTGAGAAAGACATCTTAGAACAACAGTTTTATTTTAACCAAGTCCTTGAAAACCATACAGACAAATGGCTTGCTGAGCAATTCTCAGGCTCAAGGTCCTAGAAAAAAATTGGTTCGTATCTATTTGCCAAAAGTCCATTCTTTGAAGCACACATGCAATTGAATTGAGCTAATGTACAGAGCTGGTACACACACTTGCATCTACTTGAACTGTATCTGGCAAGCAGAGCAGGAGACCAGAACACATGATTTTCTAGTGTCTTGAGTAACTATTTCTCTTGGGAGGAAAACTCCAAGGTGTAATTCCCATGGTATTTGGCCTAGACAGAAACAGAGCAATTCTAAGACTTCAGAGGTTTGCTTTCTCTAAAGCTATAGGTACAGAGATGTTGATCATCACCTTTCTTCAAGCGGGCAAAGAACATCTGTAAACTCCATAGATGCAGCATACCCTAACGCAACCACATCTGGCATGGCAAGTGGCTGTCATGAATTGTTGAGAAGAGCTGGCAACAGTACACAGAGAAAAAATTTGAGACAAACCCTCACTCCTAACTGGATCTTTCATGGCTACACAGTGGTCTGAGATAAAGTCTGCTCAAACTAATAGAAAGGCTTTCACTAGCTTTCAAACCAGGCTCACAGCGTACACAAACCTGGGACTTAAAACCTTGTGTTGAAAGACAGACCCACAGAGGACCCTTCCAAGTGCTCTGTCAGCAAACAAACCAACTACAATGGAACACTTGAGCCAAACTATACTAAAGTCAAAGGCACGTCCAAATGTCCGGCCATTCACTCTTGTGTGATTCTGCTTGGAAGTACATGGAATAAAAATGAAGAACTGGAAACACCAGCTTCCTGTTAAGCATGCATGTTTTGTAAGCCAGGTATAACTTTTGCTATCATAGCCAAAAGCAGTTTTGCTAGCAAGTTCTGCACAACTTCCTCAAAGTGTGACTTACAGCAACAATGCAACCTCCTTTCAGTTTCAGGTGGATACAGAACTCTAAATGAAAGCCCTCTTTGACCCTCTACTCCTTTTGCATTAGATTCCTGTGGAGGTTGACAGCACTTTCAACTAATGCTGATGAAGAATTGTGAAAACATAAGAAATAAAATTCCTAAGTGGGTTGCTATGAAACTTCTGTGTTTTCATTAGCTGCTCACCCTCTCCCTTACTCTCAGATGGAGAAGGTTGTGTTTTGTTTGTTTGCTATGAAAACTCATACTTTATTTTGAAAAAAAACCATTTTTTCCTTTGGAAAATTGGCATTTCTCCAGTGTACTGGAGCCTTACCTCTGCTTGTACAACACTTACATCAATAAAGCAGCTATTACCGTTCTGTTGTATATTACCTGGTTTTTGATGTCTGTTACAGTGGTTTAAATCAAGGGCAATTTACCAAGATCTAAATCTGACTTCAGTTTTCTAACTGCCACAGTATTTTTTGCTAGAAAAAAAAAAACTGTTTGAAAAGAATTTAATGAAAGATGACACTGACAAAGCTGTAGCTATTATTTTAGACGAAAGGCAGAACTTACATAAATTCTAAAATTTTAATTATTAAACTTAACTTCCGCTGCTGTGTTTCAGAGGAAGGAGAGATGATTGCTAAGGAACAAAATTGAATTAAGATATTAAGTATTTATAGCATTAGTCCTCTAGCTGCATTCAGAACAAGACAGATTTTTAACACAACCAATAATGTCCTACTTTCTTTCTGGCTATTAACTCATCTGCATATGGATCAACACGCAGATCCACATATCAGCTGAGCTGACTACTGCTGACTTCAGTTAAATAAGTTAGGAACATGCATTATTTTTCATTTCTCAAGAGAACGGCAAGACTAGAAAGCACCATGAGACATATCTGCCCACCCCAGCAAGAACCAAGGCAGCCATTCAGCCATTTCTGCTTTCTCCAGCCTGTTCTTAAAGGCCTCTGGCAACTTATTTCTCAAGAGAAATTTCTAAAACTTCAGTCCCCCAAAAGCATAAGGCATCCTAACCAAAACAGTTGTACCATGCTGATACTGATGAACATTTTCATCCAACTAAAGAAGCATAAAATTTTTATCAAAATAGTAACAGGAATGTCTTAAACTTATTGCCTGTACATGAATGTGAAATGACAATTCCACGTAAAAAAAAAAAAAAAAAAAAGGAAGGTAATATGCAACTGTCAGGAATAGGGTGATTTATAATCCAGGAGTCAACATATTCACATGGAAGATATCTGCCTTGATTCTTCAACTTAGTAAGTAATTCTTTAAGCCTTTTTTGAGGAATGCAGCTCTTACTGCTTTCCAAAAAAAGTGCTTCTTTGGTCTAGTAGCAAACATATTTGGCTGTTAAGATGACTTTTTCATTATTCCAAAGATGTCAACACATACTTCTTCAAGGGAAATATGATCCTTTCTACCTATGAAACTTTTAATTGACAAACCCATACCAGGTTTCATTGATGTACCAAGAGTTCTCTTCTTTGTTCATCTGTCCTCATCTCTGGTTTTCTCTGCTGAGCATCTTCAAGAATATTCATATTTATATTATTTACTGTGTTTTGTTTATTATATTCACAGTGCAGTACTAAATGACCTCAAAAAATCCAGTCCTAGTCACTAAAATAATTTTACTTCCAAATGTTTCTGCCTCCACCCATCTACCTAAGGATCTCATCCAAATAAGGTCTGGTATTTTCTGCTGAGAAAGGGAACTGTTCTTTCCCTTGACTTAAGGATAGAGGTAAAAATCCTCGTGCAGGACTTCCATTAACATGAAAAGAAGTTCACATGACAACTATCTCAAGCTACTAGAATGAGAGCTTTATAGGCCAGGTATAGAAGAAGAGAAAGGGATTTAAAAACCTACCAAACATGGTTAATTAAATAATTGCAGAGATCATGGTTCACTAGATTCATAAAACAATCAACTCAAAGGAAAAACAGCCCAACTTATCCAGGTTTCAACGTAATAAAATTTAGAGTAAACTTCCAGAATGCTGAAATAGTCAGGGTATGAATTTCTGCTGAATCAGAGTTGTTCATATATTCAGCACTCAGTCACAACTGCAGGTCTTACTGCTCTATGCTGCATATCATTGAAGAGTATAAAAAGCTGAGATGCAACATGCAAACATGCAGTCCTCAATTTAATTCTTACCATTTTACAAAGCCCTTAACCCTGATTTAATAAGCTTCACCGTGTCAGAAAACCTGCACAAAATTTCAAAGTGAAGATGTTTATGATTTAAACAAAAGCCATCCTGCAGTCAATGTAAGAATTTAGTTTCATGGAGAAGCAGTGGTTTAACCCATCTAGATTCCCTCTTCTTTCCTCTCTTGTAACCTGACATTCACTTTTCTTCTTCACTCATCCTCTCTAAGAAGATCTTAAAAAATTTTCAATTGTGATTCAGCCCTACATTTTTATTGAAATTCCTTTGTGAGCCAGTTCTGACTTCTGAGTGTATTACTTATTTCAAATATTCATCCTGTATTTTATGAGAACATCCTATAATCTACTGCTTGTTCCCTATTTTTCATTCAGGGTGTTGCAGTTCTGCAAAACAATATGGTGATCTTCAGGCCTTCTGACTGGATAAGTCTTTCAAAAAAAAACAGTTAATAGTAATAATGAAAACTTCTGAAAGAAAATTATAGATGTGATAAGTACGTAATAAAGCTGACAGAACATTCATAAACTTTTTCACACATATCTAGTAACTGCCTAAATGCTCTCTAGCATTGTACATGAGGTTTTGATGAGTAATGGAATAGAAATATTACCACTTTTACTCAAAGTATTTTAAAATTATCATTATACAGTTCAATGAGTACTTCTCAGTCATCTTGTGACAATATAGTTCCTTGTCTTTTTGGTTTACATTTGTCTTACTGACACACTTCCTTCTGTATCTGCACTCAAGTTGGAAATAGTTGTGAAGTACGTTAACTCTACTGCTGTCAGGTCTCCCAGAACTGCTTTGCTTATAGACACATACTAGATCATTTGCTATCATTTAAAAGTAACCTGATGAACAAAAACAGAAGAATACCTCTCCACCTCAAGTTCTTCTGTGGAACTCTCTCTTTTGACTTGTACATCCTCTCGTAATGAATTATCCAGATGATGTTTTCACTATTGCCTTCCACTTTATCTCCTTGGCTCTTCTGATGCAGATGAAATAGGATTTGTATCTTTACAGTACCCGTTTTGAAGACAAGCCTACCAAATGGTGATAGTTCCCTTTTTTCAAAAGGGCACCTGATGTGAAGAACTTTAAGGCATGCTTCAACTATAAAGTTTCCCTCTTCTTGTGGATAATTTTTGGTGCCGAGACTTTGAAACACAGCATTCATTTTCTTACAGATTTCTGATTTCAGACTCCATAGTGCTATCCCATTACACAAAGCAAAACCTTCAAAGCTGAAAAAATATATATATGCAGACATGCACACACACATATATATACATGACAAATTTATACACACAGAGGCACACACACACACACATATATCTTGAAGGTTAGCAGTTTCCTAAGCAGAGAATTAAAGCTAGTGACAGAGTTAAACCTGTGAACAGACTGTATGCTCTCGAAATTACAGTATTTGAGGGCACACAGCACAGAAATAAAATA